CAGGAAGTATCCTCAAATGGTTATATATGGAGTTACCACCTGATCCAGCAATTCCACTCCTGGGAATATGCCCAGGAGAAATGTAGATGTGCGTCCACACAGAAACCTGTGCACCAATGTTCACTGCAGCACTATTCCAACAGCCCAAAAGGTAGACACAATCCAAATGCCCATTAACAAATGATGGATAAACACAATGTAGTCCGTCCACACAACGGAATATTACCCAGCAACCAAGAGGAGTGAAGTCTGGTACATGCTACAACCTAGCTAAAGCCTGCAAACATTATGCTCACGGAGAGAAACTAGACACAAAAGGACACAGACTGCACGATTCCATTTACATGTAAGTCCAAAGCAGGCAAATCCAGACAGGAAGTAGATTAGTGGTTGCCTAGGGCTTTGGGGAAAGAGGAAAACGGAGTGACTGCTAATGGTACAATGTCTCCCTTTGAGGTGATGGGAATGTTCTGGAACCAGACAGAGATAGACAGTGGTTGCACCACATGGTAAATGTACTAAATGTCAGTGAATTACGTCCTAAATTTAAATAGGTGAATGGTGTATGGATTGTATCTTAATAAAACTGCTTTTAAAAAAGTGGATTGGCCCTTCGTAAGCACAAACCTCCCCTCAGTCTGCTCATTAGGTAGATGTGCAACCCCCTAGGCCCCCAATTGCTCTTGCTGTCCCCCCTCCCTGCCCCCACCAGCCTCACTGATCTCCACCCTGTCCTCATCTTCACCAAACCCTTCCCCACTGGAGCCTCTGCACCCACCATCCCCCACCCGATGTCTGGCCCCGGGGGTACTCAACATGTGGGGATTCCGTCCCACGCCTGGGGTCCAGCCTCTCACCCTTAGCACCCCTCTGCTTGACTCTCTCCAAGCCATCCCTTTACCGTGATTCTTTCCCAGGCTCCCTCAAACACTATCAGCTTCCCAAGAGCATGGCCTCCACAGGAGAGGATGTTGGCTGCCCTCAAGTTAGTTCCGACTCATGGTGACCCCACAAACAACAAAATTAAATGCTGCCTGGTCCTGTGCCATCACTACGATTGGTTGTGGATTGGACTACTGGGATCCAGAGGGTTTCCAACGGCTGATTTTCGGCAGTCCATTGCCAGGCCCTTTTTCCCAGTCCATCTCAGTGTGGCAGCTCCGCTGGTATCTGTTCAGCATCACAGCAACATACACGCCTCCAAGGACAGACGGGTAGTGGCTGTGCACGAGGTACAGTGGGCAGGAATTGAACCCAGGTCTCCCACGTGGAAGGTGAGAGAAATCTACCACTGAACCACCAAAGCCCCTATCCAGATCTCCAGGTCAAGATTCTGAAGCTCAAGGGCTGAGATATTAGCCCAAGTCACACACCAAAGTGCCACAGTCCGCCAACTACACTCTGCACAGAGTCTGAGGGCAGAAGAGGACAGCTTCCATCCTTTGGCTCTACACCTTGCAGGCAGTCTCCCCAGTAAAAGAGATGGGGGCACGTGTTGGTTAAAATCTGAAGACCCTCCCATTGCAGCCGCCAACCTGAGAGCAGACCACCATGACAGAAAGGGTGGCCTTTCTGCCTGAGGAGTGAAAATGCTGCCCTTCAGAATCCACATCAGAGGAGCAGGTACTGATAGACCACACCTGTCCACCAAACCCTCAAAATCCAACCCACTGCCATTGAGTCAATTCTGACTCATACCAACCCTCACTGGGTTTCCAAGGCAGTAAAACTTTACAAAAGTAGATTGCCTCACCTTCCTTCCATGGAGCAGCTGGTGGGTTTGAACTGCCAGCCTTCTGGTTAGCAGTCAAATGCCTTAGGCACTGTGCCACCTGAGTACCTGTCCACAGGCACTATCCACAACCCATGGTGTCTACTGTGGAGGAGGAGACATGCCCCTGGCCCCAGTGGAATGAGTCAGCTAGGAATCAGAGGGAAACAATCAGTACACCTGTCCCAGTGCCATAAGCACAGTCCCCCTACCCAAGGCCATGAGCCCTCAGGCTGCAGCTGTGCTTTCACAGCCTGCCCACACCCAGGACTCCAGGACTCTCGCCCAGGCCTGCCTCCCACCACCCTCCAACTCAGAGTTCCCCATTATGGCAATGTGGACAGCTGGGGCCAGATCATTCCGGGGTAGGGCCATACTGTACACTGTGGGGTGCTGAGCAGCATCATGATCCACATGTACTCAAAACCAATAGCACCCCGCCCCCAGTTGTTATAAGCACAAATGTCCCCTGAGGGCAGAATCATCCCTGGGGTGATAACAACACTCCAAGTGTCTCTAAAATCCAATGGAAACTCACCTCGACTGAGAGTCCACTTCCCCCATCCTCTTATACCCACCTTCCATCCACCCCATGCATAGGAAAAGAACAGAGAGGGGAAAGGAACTGGGAAATGGATCTCAGGGCTGAGAGATCTGCCAGCTGTGTATTCTGAAAATCTTTTCTACATCCATCAACAATCAGACAAATAAACACAAGGTAGTCCATCCATTAAATGGAATATTACTCAGCCATAAAAAGGAATGAAGTCCTGATACCTGCTACAACATGAAAGAAACCTGAAGAAAAGCTGAGCAAAAAAAACCACTCACCCACAAAAGGCCACACACTGTGTGACTCCATTTATATGAAATGTCCAGACCAGACAAATCCACAAAGACAAGAAGTAGATTCATGGTTGCCAGGGGCTGGGAGGAGGGAAGAGGGGAATGACTGCTCATGGGGACAGGATCTCTTTTCCTGGATGCTATGGAATTAGACAGTGGTGATTACATGGGTCTGAATACACTCAGAACCACTGAGCTGTAGACTTTAAAAGAGTGAATTGTATGGTATGTGGATTATACCTCAATAAAGCTGTTATTTCAAAAATTTTTTTCTACAACAACAAGCCATCTTCAACCACAAGGCAGAAATCCAACACCCAGCTCTGACCACAGCCATGAATGGAGTGTGAGCCCTTGTTCCTGACGCACTACAAACCCTGGACACCTACTGCACACCAACACAACAGACAAAATGAAGCTACCGCCCTCTGCCCTCAAAGCCCTATCCTGCAGGGAATATTTATACTGCACAGTTTCATTCATTCATTCATTCACCAACCACATCTTCCTCTACATCTTGAATGCATGCATGAGGTGCTCGAATTGAGTGAACGTGTCGCATCCACCAAGCAGTCAGAGCAGATACATGCTGAACAAATGCAAGAAAAGGAAGACATAAATCTGAGTTTGTAAGGTCACCCCTGCCCAGAAAGACACACCAAGCAATTATAAAACCACATGGTCAGAAAGTTGCACCTAGGAAGCAAGCTGCAAAGAAAGCAGGTCCACCTGGACTGTCTCTGCTTGGACCCAGAAAGGTGGTCTCGGTAAGTCCTCCCAGCCCCTCCCCCAGGCCTTGCACGCTGGGGGATCCCACCACTCCACGGCTGAGGTCACTACCATCTGGGCAAAGAAGTTGGCCTAAATCTGATTGGGGGGGGGGGGATGCTACCGAGACAGGAGGAGCCTAGGGACCTCAGTATGGTCACATGGTCAGAGAGCTGGGACCCAGAATAAGAGCAAGGTGTCTGACCTCTGTCCCAGCCAAGCCCCTTCTTCGGGGCCATAGTCGCCTCCCAGATGAGGTCAGTAGGGCAAATGCACTGTCAGCACCTGGTGGAACCTGGACTGCCCCTGCAGGCTATCCCTCCACCTTGGTCCTAATGGACCCTGTTCCAGTGGGAGAAACATCACCTGGCCCCGCTACATGGGATGCATGGGGGAGAGGTGGCTGTCCCCACTCCAAGCTCCAGAACGGACCACAAGCTGCCTTCCCAACCCTCTCAGGTCCCCATGGAGGCTGGCACTCTAACCTTTCCCTCAGGTGTCCAACAGAAAGAGACACCCATCCCATGCCAGGTCCCTTAGGATGGCACCTGTTCCTCCTCTAACACCAGAGAGTAAGAGAGGTAACAATGATATCAGGGTATCTGTCTCCCTCACATAATGATTTGGGGGTCCCTGTTCATTAGGTAACAATGATACAGAACAATGTCCTTCTCAGGTAGCAATGATATAGGACCACCTCTCTTCCCTAGGTAATGATGAGGGAGTGCCTGTCCTTATCTCAGCTAAAAATAATTTGGAAGCACCTGTCACCTTCCAGTAGCAACTATGTGGGGGCACCTGTCTCCATCAGGTACCAATGATGTGCAGGCACCTATTCCTCCCCTGAAGTAACAACGATTTGGGGGTCCTGTCCCACAAAGATAACAATGATGTGGGAACATCTCCCTCAGGTAGCAGTGATGCAGGGAAACCTGCCCTCTTTAGGTAGCAATGATGTAGGGGCATCTGTGTCCCCCCAGATAGCAACAATATAGAGATTTCTGACCCCCACCACACAGATAACACTGATGTGAGGACACCTGTTTCCTTCAGGTAGCAATGATGCAGGGAAACCTGTCCCCTCCAGGTAGTCATGATATAGGGGCAACAATGTAGAGACCTCTGTCCCCCCAGGTAACAGTGATGTAGAGGCACCTGTCCTCTCTGGGAAGCAATGATGTTGGGGCACCTGTCCCCTCCAGGTAACAATAATGGGAGGGCACCTGTCTTCTTCAGGTAGCAATGATACTGGGAAACCTGTCCCCTCCAGATAGCAATGATGCGGGGGCATCCATCCCCTCTAGGTAGCAATACTCTAGGGCACCTGTCCCCTCCAGGTAACAATAATGGGAGGGCACCTGTCTTCTTCAGGTAGCAATGATGCTGGGAAACCTGTCCCCCTCAGGTAGCAATGATGCGGGGCACCTGTGCTCTCCAGGTAACAATGATGCGGGCCCCTGTCCCGCCCACGACGTCCGGAGGGTGGGGACACCTGTCCACAAGCCACGCACACCCCGCCCCCGCCCCGCCCCCCGCGCCCCCAGCCTCGGGGCTAGAGCCCCCGCCCCGTTCACCGCCCCCTCCCGGCAGGGGCTGGGCCGCGACAGCCCCTTACCCGCGCGGCCCGCGTCAAGCTCAGGTCCTTCATGACCTCCTCGAAGGCCGCCGTCTCCTCCGCTTGCTTCTGGTTGTGCAGCGCAATCTTCTCGCTGAATTTCCGCGGATTGTTCGAAGTCGCCATCTTCTCACCACCACCACCTCCTCCACCTCCTCCTCCTCCTCCTCCTCCTCCTCCTCCTCCTCGCCCCCCACTCGCCCGCGCCACCGCGCAAGCGCTGGCCGGGCCCGCGAGCGGAGGGTAGTGCGCAGGCGTGCCGGAGGCCGGAATGACGGCGCAGGCGCATGGGAGCGGCGCGCGACGCGGAGGCGAGAGCGCACGCGCGCCCTCGAGGTTTTTCTGGAGCGAAGCTGCGGCGCGAACGGCTGGCGGGGCACGGGGGTTAGGGGGAGTAAATAGATTTCTGCGCAGGCGCAGTGAGCTACCAGCGAACTCGCTGAACAACGGCCGCTTGGCTGTTGATTGAACCAAGTCCGGGCGGGCTGGGCTGGGCTGGGCTGGGGCGCTGGAACCCCCAAAATGCAGACAGACCGGCCCAGACCTTTTGCAAGGGTAAGGCAGGCACTCCTCAAGGACAGGGCTTGGACCCCAGCTTTGAGACCAGTCCACAGTCGATGGCATTCATTCATTGGAACAATGAATACATTCATTCATTCAACAAGTATTTATTGAATACCTACTAAATAGTGATCGGCAAACCGAGGTACAGAAGTGAACAAGCAGACGGGTCCCTGCCCCTGTGGGGTGCACAGTTAGGGGTGGACGCGCACAACCGGTAAGCAGAACCAAGAACATTTTGGAAGGTGATAATGTAATGAGGAGAATAAATTGGTGATGGACTGGAGCAAGGGAGAGGGAGGAAGCGGCATGTCCCTCAGCCGCCACGTCAGAAGAGGAGTCACAACTGAACTGGGGCCTGAGCCTTGCAAGCAGAGCCCAGCCCATAAACCCAGGTGTTGTCCTCCACACCATTCTTTTCCTATCCCCTCATATTTGACCGGTTCTCTTTCCCTTCCCAGATCCTTAAGGCCCAAACCCAAAACTCATTGCCATCCAGTTGATCTCTACTCATGGCAACCACATGTATTACATAGTAGAACTGCTCCATGGGTTTTCTTGCCTATAATCTTTATAATGGGAGTTCTGGTGGTGTAGTGGTTAAAGCATTCAGCTGCTAACCAAAAGGTCGATGGTTCAAACCCACCAGCTGCTCTGTGGGAGAAAGACGTGGCAGTCTGCCCCTATGGGGCATTTCCAGTCTGTCTTATAGAGTCACTCTGAGTTGGAATTGACTTGATGGCGTGGGTTTGGTTTGGTTTAATCTTTATGAAGCATATCTCCAGGGCTTTTTTTCCATGGTGCTGCTGGGTGGGTTCGAATTACCAATCTTTTGATTGAGCACACACTGTGCCACACAGTGACCTAAAGGATAGAAATTACAGACTCCTCTGTGTGAATTTTGCCAACCCTGTCTTGTGCCTAAGGCATTTGACTGCAAACCAGAAGACTGGCAGTTCAAAACCACTAGCCACTCCTCAGATGGAAGGTTGGGCAATCTACTTCCATAGTGATACTGCCTCAGAAACCCCAGGAGGGGTTACTATGAGTCAGATCCAACTGGACGGCAGTGAGTTTGGTTTGGTTTTTTGGTTCTTGCTGGATGTGGTATAGTGCTCTGGTGGTATAGTGCTTAAGGCATTTGACAGGTAAACAGAAGGTTGGTAGTTCAAACCCACCAGCTGCTCCATGGAGGGAAGCTGGGGAAATCTACTTCTATAAAGATTTTCACATCGGAAACCCAATGGGAGTCGCTATGAGTTGGAATTGACTCAATGGTGGTGAGCTTTGAGTTGAGTTTCCACACAGGAGCTCTAGTGGTGTAGTGGTTAAGGAATTTGGCTGCTAACCAAAAGGCAGTGGTTCAAACCTTCCAGCTTCTCTGTGGAAGAAGAGGAGTCAATCTGCTTCCATGAAGATTTAACAGTCTTGGAAACCCAATAGGGGTTGCTAGAAGTGAAAATTGGCTTGATGGTAGTGAGGCTTTGTTTTGTCTTGTTTGTGTTATTAGGGAGCTCGGGTGGTGCTGTGGTTAAAGGACTGGACTGCTAACAAAAAGGTTGGCAGTTTGAACCCATAAGCTGCTTCATAGGAGAAAGATGAGGCAGTCTGCTTCCATAACAATTTATAGTCTTAGAAACCCTATGAGGCAGTTCTACTCTGTCCTAAAGAATTGCTATGAGTCAGAATTGACTCGATGGCATTAGGTTTCATTTTGGTTATCACACAGCAAGCACACTTTTTACTAGACCAAAGGGTGGCTAAAGTGAATGCTGAAGGACATGACAGGGGACCTCCTCATTTTCCAAAGATGCTTTATGCACACTTAACAGCAGCTTAATCAGATGTCAATCATCCATACTAAATATATACATACACATACGCATCTATATTTAGAATGTTTTGGGTGCCACTATTGCCCTGATTTTATCTTTCTTGTTCGTATTGTTTTGAACACTTTAATGAACTTGTCTTTTTTTTGCCTGGCAAGCATCTGCCCAAGGTGACATTTTGATGGCATCATCCAACTGTCCTCCAGGGAATTATTTCCAACTTTTAGTTCCTGAGATTTGGATGGGGCTAAATGCACAACCCCCTCTCCTTACAAACACCCCACCCCAAGGTGGAAGGTTCAGACAATCAACAGAGCCCATTGCTTTGGCCACCACAATTGGTTCAGGGCAAGCATGTGACCCAGTTTGTCCAATGAGATATAATCCTGGGATTTTTGCTGGAACCATAGCAAGGAAAAGCTCCTTCCTTGTGTGGGTGGCTGGTTTAAGGATAACATAGTTCTGCAGTGACAGAAGTTACCACATGGAGGAAGCTGGCCCAAGAAAGGGAACTCGTACAGGAAAACAGGGCCAAAGCTAGTGAGATATATTGTTTCAGTCTCTGGATCCAGCTGCACCTGAGGCTAGCTCCCTACTTTTTCAGTTACATAATCCAATAATTTATTCCCTCTTTTGTTTAGTCTATTTGAATGACCAAAAACCAGAAGAATTGTGGGATGACATCAAGAACATCATCCATGAAGAAAGCAAGAGGTCATTAAAAAAGACAAGAAAGGAAAAAAAAAAAAAAAATGGATGCCAGAAGAGACTCTGAAACTTGCCCTTGAGCTAAGAGTAGCTAACGCAAATGGAAGAAATGACAAGATAAAAGCTGAGCAGAAGATTTCAAAGAGAAGCTTGAGCAGACAAAGCCAATTACTATAATGGAATGTGCAAAGACCTGGAGTTAGAAAACCAAAAGAAAAGAACACGCTCAGCATCTCTCAAGCTGAAAGAACAGGAAAAAAATTAAGCCTCAAATTGCAATATTGAAAGATTCTATGGGCAAAATATTGAATGATTCAGGAAACATCAAGAGAAGATGGAAGGAATACACAGAGTCACTGTACCAAAAAGAACTGGTAGATCTTCATCCATTTCAGGAGGTGGCATATGATCAAGAACCAATGGTATTGAAGAAAGAAAGTGAAGCTGCACTGAAGGAAGTGGTGAAGAACAAGGCTACAGGGATTGACAGAATACCCATTGAGATGTTTCAACAAACGGATGCCCCACTAGAGGCACTCACTCAGCTATGCCAAGAGATTTGGAAGACAGCTACCTGGCCAACTGCCTGGAAGAGATCCATATTTGTACCATTCCAAAGAAAGGTGATCCTACAGAATGTGGAAATTATAGAATAGTATCATTAATATCACATGCAAGTAAAATCTTACTGAAGATAATTCAAAAACAGTTGCAGCAGTATATTGACAGAGAACTTCCAGAGGTGCAA